TGCAAGCACATGCAGAATCAACAATTGTACACAATGCATTGATTAAGTCGGATCATTAAACCATTTTTTTGCAGCCCAACAGCACATTTAAATGACAGTACACATCTAGAAGACACTGACGGAGGTGCATTAGCATTAAAAATTATGAACAGTCCTATTCTCTCCCATCACTTGCTGTTGCTTTCTCAGTATTTTGGGGTCAGTGTGCGCTTCATAGACGACCTAGATAGCAAATTTGATTAGGGTCTCCTGAATTTGAGGACAGTTGCATCTCAATGCCGCAAATTCTGCACTGAGATTTCCCGTAAACTATCTTTTCTTATCATGCTACACAGCATGTCGTCGTTAGGTCTGTGTTCAGCAGATAATTTGACTGAAACACAGATAAAACATTGAAAATAACAACAACTGACACTTTATACCTATGCTTTATACTCAAAGCAGTTAAATGGCTCTTTAATTTGTTTGCCTTTTCATATGACCATAATTCACAGTATTTCTGAATTTTCAAGTCAAGCAAATTTTAAACCTCTGGAGCTAGTGGCCTACAAATCTATTTTCCATCATTTTTCATGCAATAGCCTTATTTAGCCTACATTTTATAGGCTATTTAGCCAATATATTTGATGGTCATACAGTCAAGGTCCAAAAAGGACAAACATTCTACATAAGACGATACAACTTAAGTAACAACTTCAATAATTTAAGTCTTCTGAACAGGGTTATTTTACTAAAACTAAAACTATAAAAAACACTTTTTTTTTCAAAAATGCAACAGTAAAAGCTTGTTAACCATGTTACCTTATATATGGTGAAAATTTTTAAATGGTTTAACATCACATTATTTTACTACTATACATGTATTTTACAGTAAAATAATTAAGGTTTTTGGAGGTATATTTTATGGTGAAAAGAAAAAAGTAAAATGACATTCAAGTCCCTGTGTGACACATCACATATGACTATATTTGATTAACCAGTTTTGTTTCTTATTTTTGTTAACGATAATGTAGGGTGTTTTTGTTACATTTTATGTTATTTAGTAATTGTTTATTGCATTATTTTAATGTCATCTGTGTTGCCCTGATGGTGTTGTTTTGTTTTGTCTTGTCTGTGTATGACCCGCCATCTATATAGGACAGGCAGTCAGGCACCTAACTATGTGGCTTTGTACCCACCTGTATTATCATGTGTGGTTATCAGTTCAGTTTGTAAAGCAGATTTTTGTATTCAAGTAGATTGTTATATAAAAATGATATATTTTGATGAAATATGGCAACCATAAGTTACTGTATTATTATTATTTACTGTGAATTATTGACAGCAAACAACATTGAGAACTACAGCACAATCATCAGTAAATTTGAGAATTCCTTGTAAGGAAGGAACTCAGCCATTCTCCCGAACATCTCCTTTTGTGTTTCAAGGAATAAAATCATATGAGTTGAGGGTGAACAAATAACAAAATGTTCATTTTTGTGTGAACTATTCTATTAAAACATGCTGAAATAAACGGATACTTGCTGAAAAATCCCACATCTAATTCATGTAACAATGACCCACATCCGGCTATAGGCTCAGAGCCACGTTCCCTTCTCCAGGCTTCTGTGTGCCTCTAGACAGCCCAACAGACAGAAATCCTCCATCTGCCACGGGCTGCCAAGCTTTGCCCACAGGCACTGCCCTGCTTGGCAGGGATCTAGGTGAGCCAGCAGCACCGACACAAAACTACAAATCTTTCAATGCTGCAACTAACAACCACTAGTTAACAGCAGATGATAAAACAAGTGACAGGAGGACTGGATCAGATTCCTTGAAACTTTAGGATAAACAATACTACAATGAGTGTGATGTTCTCTCACTCTGCTAATGAGGGAGTCCATGCTAATGCTGCAGGTTCACTCTAATGAAGTCTAATCAACAGGAGCAATTCAAGCCAATTCAAATTTAAATGGAACATAGTGTGCATCCCCCAACTCCCTCTCTCTCTCCATCCTTCTCTGCAGGTCTCAGAGTCAGGGGGTGTCCTAGGATGATCCCTCTAATCTCAAACTGCAGCGGCTTTCATGTCTCAGCTCTTTCAGGTCTGATAATGAATCTACCTTGACTTAAAAAGTGACAGGCCGACTTTAATTCAACAGGATTGTGTGCTTCAGCATGACCTCTAGTATAAAGCATGGGGATGAGATGTACAGCCCTTATCATCCAGATGCTCAGAGTTCAGAGCTCTAATCAGTCTTTTATTTAAGAAGAGACAGGTTAGAACATTAAAATAGCCTCCAAAATCCAAATTCAGTATTGAAACCTTGAACAGAGATAGAAAAGCTTACTCTGCAAAAAAACAAACAAAACAACAACAATGCATTCTGCGTGCATAGCACTGGCAACCCATGCACCACTGAAGAGCAGTGTATCTCTGTCTGGGCACACAGAGGAAATGCAGCACTTACAGTAATCAGCAACTGCCTTCAGTCCTGGCCCAAATATTAAACTGTTTGCAAGTGTGACTCAGATGTCATTACTCAGAAAACCAGATTATAAGGCAGTTTAATTTAGTCTCTACACCTACTAAATGCATTTTGTCCCTTTGAGTGCATGCTCATCATTAAAGTGCAGCCAATACTGATAATCAAATACCGATATTTGAATTCTGCCTTTATTTGTTTATTTCTGAGATAAGTGCAATGCTATAAGTGTTAAAAGCTTGCAACTTTGGAAACGCTGAGAAACTATGAAGGACATCATTAGCATTCATTGGTACAGTCAAAATACCATATACCCAGTGAAAAATAAAAATACAAAAAATGTTTTAAAAAAAAGTCTGGTGAATTGGTACAACTTTTGTACTTAATGCACTTTAGTTATCCGGAAGTTGTGCTGAGGTCCAACTAAAGATATACTTAAGTATATTTGATTGTGCTAAAGTGGAACTATTGCAAGTATACTTTAAGTACACTTTAAATATCTTGCATTTAAAGACTATTATACAGAGATCATACTATATCCTTACTAATAGTGATATTAAAACCCATTTTAGGCTTAATATTAAGAAATGCCACTAATTACACGTTTGCATTGAAATCTTATCATGGCATTAGGACAATATTTAACTTTTTCAGGAAGTGAACATCAAGACAATTTATTTATTTATTTTTACTAGACATTCAACTCGAGAACCACTTATAATTCTTCACGGACCACAACTAGAAGAAGATGGTTCAATGGTTTTGTTTTTAAAAGCACTCCAGCATTCTTTCCTATCTTAGCCACATCTCAGTGCTCTCAAGTGCATCTTAAAATTGTCTTAAGAATGTTATGTTTGTGTGCTGTAGATACGCAAGTCTTTTGTGAATCTCTGGGTTCTTTTAAGGATAGACTAAACAAACAAGAACAAGAATCAAGACACACACGCAAAAGACAATCTGCATCTGCATCACAAGACTCTTATCATGAGATGGGAATACCATGACGTGCATTTACAACACATGCTGCAAGAGATCCCACAGAGAAGTTACAAACTGTGGAGTACAGTGCACAGTATATGAGCCCCGGGATCTGTGTTGCGCAATAACAGCTTTGCACACTCTTTTGACTATGTGGGAATATGAAAAACTAACCTGCAGCCATTCTCCGCAAATCTACAACCACATGCCTCAGGATGTGACATAGTGCAAGTGTTTCTAGAAATAAATAACCAGCCACACTTCTGAACAGGCGACTGGCTACTTCTAGAGATATTTCTCTTTATCCACTTTATCTAGAACGACAGGGACATTATTCACCCACACAATTTGCAAAACAAATGATTTGTCTTTCAAGGCATGAAATTCAACAGTCTAATTAGAGCTGCTATTACAATATTGGTGAAATCTAATCTGAATAAGCTTTTCTAAAATGTATTCCATAAAACTAACCAGTACATTTTTGTAATTGCTAGAAAGTAATCCAAAAGGAGGCCTATTTGGATTTTTAGGATTTTAGTACGTATCCATTACATACTACTAGGACTTATTATTATAGTGAAATAGTTATTCATAATTAATAATAATAGTTATTATTATTGTATTGTAACAAATTGCACATAATGTCATTGAATGGAGATTTCTACACTGTAATTATACATTTGAGTACTGAGTAATATGAAGTAACTACATGTAGGTTACTATATCGTTAAGATTAGGGTTTGGTTTGGTTTAGGGTTAGTTACTATATGGTCAATCCTAACCATATAAGTACATGCAGTTAATTATTATTCCTCAGTACTTAAATGTATAATTACACTGTAATACTGACACCTTAAAAATAAAGTGTAACTAAAAAATGTTACTATATGTTTTACTAAAATAGTTACATTCCACTATTAGGAAGGTGACCAATAGCAATTAAATGAAGAACTAGTATGTAAAAAGTACTAGTGACTTGATACTAGTCACTACTAGCCTTAATACTATATTAGTATCTCTAAATTAATAGTTGCTAGTTAAATTGAAAAAGATACTAGTCACTAGTGGATTATTTACTAATACTTAAAAAGCATTAGTGACATAAATGTAGTTAGACCTGAAGCAATAGACAAAAAAGATACAGCATCATATTTAAAAACACAAATAATTAACAAACAAAATAATCTGTTCAACTTCTCCACTACTTTGCCCATCATTATTCGGATCTGTCACAGCAACTTCCTTCCACAAAGCACCGTGTCTAAAGTCTTTGTTCTAACAGAGGAAATGTATATGCACTGAACTGATGAGGAACAGCACCACACATGCTGTGCGCTGCAGCCCAAACTGACCTTGTAGCAAATGATCAAGCTTTTGCTCCACAATGCTGACACACTGAAACAGAGATGCTCCGCTGGGGAAAGCCTCACTGTCAGTGTCACGTACAATGAACTGCCTAGTGCTGGACGCCTATTATGTTGCATTCCCGGGGAAACGTTTCAGCAGCATAACCAATAACTTCACATACTGTGAAAAGAAACGTAAAAAGTATGTTACCTTGTTGTGGTTTCAGTAAAAACAGTGAGGCTCATTTTCATCGCCGGTAGTTGATCCGACGGTGGCGCGTTCAATGTGTTACGGAGAGTAACAAGGTTTGAACGAACAGTTGACAGTGTTAGAAAAGCCCCGCCTCTTTGTGTTCCTATTGGTTCATGTTTCCTGTCACTCAAGCGTCACCGGAGCAAAGCTGTGTAGGCATGGCAACTGCGTTTCCAATACCGCTTTTCTTAGCCAATGGAGAATGGTTCGATTTCAAGAGGCAACGCCCACTTCTCATGGACAAGAGTCATTGGATAAAGTGTTTGTCAATCAAAGTAAGGCTTTACTAAAGGCGGGAACCCTTGAGTTCGATTATTATAATGTATGCAAATGTATTTCTTTACCGAAATGCATCATGACAAACCACTGTTCAAATCTCCACAAAAAGGCCGAATCGTCTGTGCGCATCACATTTTTTTCCAGACAACTGCGATTAACGCATGTGTACAGGGGTGGAAGAGAAATAAATAAAAAAATATGTAAGAGCCAAAAATGTTTTGTGTTGATAATTTTTAAAAGTAGCAGAATTTCAACACAAAACCATCAATATCAAGTTTTGTTGCTAAAATGTAAAAAAACCCCAAAAACATTTAGTTCTATTTAATGCCCTAAAAAAATGTTTAACTAATGCAACTCCAACTAACAATGACCTGATTATGCTAATTTAGGTCATTTTTAAGTCCAGCCTCTGCATGATGAAAAAACAATATCTACTTGCATGTTAAAAATCACCAAAATCAGAATAAACACCACAGATAGACCACATGGCAATTTCTCAGTTTGTTTATAGAAGCCAATCAGTGCCACAGTAAAGTTTGCTCAAGTTCAAGGATGCACAAATGGTTGGTACCATATTTATTTAGTCAAAACAACATGGCATTACAAATGTTATTCTACAGAAATGTGATTCTTGGAAACAGAAGGGGAAGATCTGCGCTGCCCAAAGGGATGCGGGACTGGGTCAGAAGGAGGAAGGAGAAGCTCAGGAGTGGGTGTATTGTAGTCTGGGTGGCTCTTGCTTCGGTGAGCTGTGACATTGTCTCTCTTTTCAAAGCGACGACCGCAGATCTCACAGGGGAACTGGTAGGTGCTCTCAGCATTGTGCTTCCGCATATGCCAATTCAGAGAGGCTTTCTGTCGACAGGTAAAGCCACACACCTCACACCTGAAAAAGAGAGAAGGGGTGAGTTATATCCGGAGCTGACAACTGTAGTAGCAAAGCCTTGAGCAGTTGTTGTGCTAAATATTGATGGAATGTTCATGCAAAAATTTGTTTGGGATGTACGCAAGCTTTGGTATAAACAAAGGGCCTAGTGCACGTGTGTGTGGTGAAACTCATACTGCAGTGGTTTCTCTCCGGTGTGTATCCTGCGGTGGATGATCAGGTTACTGCTGGTTCGGAACGCCCGGGCACAGAACTCACAGATATAGTCTCTCTGATCTCACAGCCACAAAGAATCATATAGAGAGAACCATGTTACTAACCACAACATGAAAAACATCAGCCTACTGCTTACTGTATTTGTCCAGTGGTTCTTAAGTAGGTTTGCTTTTTTTAGCATACAAAGTAAACAAAACTTTCACTATAATTACACTAAAATGTAGTATTGTTAATTTTAAATGGATTAAATATCATACAGTATGAAAGTAATTTCAGCATCCAATAATTCAAAGCACAAACAATGTGGTTGACACAATCCATGTTTATACTCACTGCAAGTTACTTCTGCTGTCTGGATTGGATTTTCTTTAACTTAATGTAACTGTTCATGGTTTTAAAGTGTCTTAAACTACTATGTACTAACCTTTAAAATAATCATTTGATACAATGCACTTATTGTATACATACACGTTTTTACATTGTATATATTTAAACGATACCTGCATGTAATTACATGCAATACATTTTTGTAATTGCATTTACAAGTTCATGTTGACCCAACTCCTACCCCTTAAAAACCTAAACATACCACCAAACCTGTACCTACCCTTACCCATGTTCCATCTCAATAGCAGTAAACATGAATTATTTGATACAATGTACTTATTGTGTTCCAAAAAGTATATTGTACCAAATAATTAATTTATATATAAAAGACAGACACAATCAAAAAATGGGAACTTTTTTTTTTGAGGATTTTTTTCACCGTGTCCATTTTTGCATCTACTTAATTTGGATTCTACATGACTTCAATGAAATGTAAATGAATTTGCACCAAAATACAGTAGACTAGACTTTGATAAGACACCCAGCATTTGACATCAACAATCAAAGATGATTTTTGGCATAAAAGACAAATTGATCATTTTGACCCATACAATGCAACAAATATACATTACCCATGTGACTTGTGACTGGTATTGTGATCCAGGGCCACATATATACACATACACATACAGTACATATACATATGTATATAGTGCCTGTCCAAAACTACATCTATCACATAAATCATTCTTCATGAGTTCACATCTACATATAATTATTATGGTTAAGGCTATGCATACTTGGCGTGCTGTCCGGGTGGAGGGCTCCGAGCTCGGAATTTTTGCCCGAACCCAGAGTACTCCCCCCGTTGGTAAGAGCAGATGGAACTAGAAGTGAGGAGATGGAACTAAAGTGAGGAGATGGGGTGGAGGTGGGATGCTGATAAACTGTCAAGGAACAATGGTGGGTTCTGCTGTTATTTATCCTATTCTGAGTTTATTACAGATTGAACTCCACTTGTGCTAATTGGGTTAATTATCCGAACCTTGTTAATAAAACATCATATATGGACTGAATACTCACTACTGTGCAACTTTTCATGTTCCTTCAGATGCTTCTTGAAGTTGAATGACTTGCTGCAGGGGGGGTGCGAGCAGGTGAAGGTCTTCTGCTGGAGATGCTGGTACTTGACATGATGCTGAGGAGAGGATCAGATTGTGAGATGCTTTGCCATCCTGTCTCAGTGTTGATGCTTTTCCATAAAACATTGCAATCAACGTAATTCTGTTTTAAATAAAGCAGCAATCAACGTAATTGTGTTTTAAATAAAGTTTCTTTTCTAACAGTCAGATCAGTGCCGAACAATGGTAACTGTTTTAGTCTAGTAAAGACTAATGAATGTGTCATGGACAGTCAATACTGGCTCAGTACTCACATTGAGATATTGCCGACTAGAGAAAATCTTATCGCAGCCTTGAAACTCACAAGGCAAAATCACTTTGGATGTTGATTTTCTGTAAACGCAAAGATCAGTATCATGTAATATGACGTCAACATATGATACAATAATAGGACATCATAAGGCATTAAAAAAAAAACCATGAAAATATCACCAAATAAATAAATAAATTAGTTCTAATATTTAAAACTCATATAACTATACTTAACTTTTATTTAAATGTAAAATACTGTAAATATTTTATAAACAATATTTATATTGGTAAAATGAAAAAACAAACCGTTTTCTCTTGCCACCAATCTGGGACACATCATCTTTCAAAGACTGTGGACTGGAGAGAAAATGGAAAAGAACTTTTAAGATTTTATTGAACTTGTTAAATCCTAAAATATGAAAATATAAAAAACGTGCAGTTAGAAAAATCACCTGTTATTTTGAAGTGTTCCTGCCTTTTTGTTGGTGTTGTGTTTCTCAGTAGGATCTGCTCTACTCTGGATCCCTCTGTTGGTTAAATTCAGCACTGCAACTTCCTCATTGCTAGGAGACAGAGACTTGGCTTAACATACTGTATGTCTAATTGATTCATTAAAAGAGTAGATGAATAGAGGAAATACCTATCAGGGGGGCTTTGGTTTTCAGTGCAAACCCTGGCAGGATCATCTTCAGTCATCTCATCACTGTTTACTGAAGACCTGACAATCAGAAAAAGATTGAGGAGACATAATTAAACTAAATATTATAAATACAGCTAAACATTCAAATATGCAAAAATATATACCTATGTTCTGAATGCGAAAGGTCAGCTGCCACATTATTTCCTTTCTGTGTCTCAGAAGTCTCAGTCACTGTAACACCTTAACACATGGTTCAAGTTATTCCTTAAAAAACAAAAACAGCATCTTTATTTGAGAAAAATCCTTAAAAACAAAGTCACCTGCATTCTTGTTGTCTCCGAACGTTTGAGACCTTGTATTGTTTTTCTGTTCAGTGTCATTTGTGGTAACTTCAGCGTTTTCTCGTAGTTGCCGTCTGGTTTTTAATCTAGCCATCATCACCTCTTGTCTTTCTATCTCTGCGTCTGGATCCTTCAGCCACCTCCTGCCTCGTTGTTTGAGTCTCTTTGGGCTGGCTGCAGTTATTTCACCTTCGTTTTTAGATGTCATTGCCTTCTCCATCTTAATAGGAGACCACAAAAAGTGATGTCCATTTTCACAGGTGTACTTGAGACACACGTCCACCTCACAGTCCTTGGAATCAGTTTCAGCTTCTCTTCTCCCTGTTGCATGAGCACTCTGATCTTGAACTGTTGGTTTTGTGACAGGCCGAGAATGCAGGACAGGGGGGAAAAGGCACATCCGCCCATGGTTGTGGACCAGCAGGATAAGTTCCTGCAAAGATTCCTTGGTAGTTGATAGGGTGCTTGTGATCTCTCCTTTCCCATCACCTAAAGAAGCCATAGTGACATGTAAAACTAAAGTAGACATTTGACATATATATATATATATATATATATAGATAGATAGATAGATAGATAGATAGATAGATAGATAGATAGATAGATAGATAGATAGATAGATAGATAGATAGATAGATAGATAGATAGATAGATAGATAGATAGATAGATAGATAGATAGATAGATAGATAGATAGATAGATAGATAGATAGATAGATAGATAGATAGATAGATAGAGAGAGAGAGAGAGAGAGAGAGAGAGAGAGAGAGAGAGAGAGAGAGAGAGAGATAGAAAGAGAGAAACCAAATGCAAAAATGACAAATAGATTTCACGATTCTCAGATTAACAAGGCCAAAAACATTGCAAAAATAATTTTCTTAAGGCCTGTTCACACCAAAGTTGATAACTATAAGGATAACTATAAATGTTTTATTATTTTTCTAATTCTATATGAATAGGGGAGTCCACACCACAGCTACTGTATAACGATAACAATATCGTTAAAATCACTTTCAGAGCGATTTTTTTCCAGCTGAAGATTAATAAAAACATTGACAGCCAATCAGAATAAACAGAACAATATTGTCAGCTGGTGTGAACGCTAATATAGTTATCATTGTGGTAATCTTTACTCTGTATTTTTCTCTTGTTTCCCAGTGCAAATATATTAACATTCTTAAATCATGATAGATTTACTTTAGAATAAGGGGAAGAATAAGTGAATTTATGCTTAACAATCTGTCAGTTGGGTAAGAAAAATAAACTTAAACTTAAAGGGATAATACAATTAGTTCTTACACCAGTGACAGACATTTTTTTCTTGTTTTAAGTATAAACACATAATGTTGATACATTATTCAGAAAATAAGACTTAATATCTTATATTCTGATTTTAGAATCTTTAGATATTTGAAGTGGAAAAAAGACCAAGATACTAAAAAAATAGTTTTTAGCAGTGAATGTTTTAAAATGTTGCACTTAACTTAGTTATGAAGTCATACAGGTCTAGAATAACTTTATACAAAAATGACAAAGTATTATAGAGTAAATGATGTCGTAATTATCATTTTGTGTATGAACTATCCCTTTAACTGTGTTTACCTGAGCACTTGATGCAAACTCTTGATACGTAGCTGCAAAACAGGAAGCAGTTGTCATCGTCAGTTAGACCACATATTATCTATAATGCTTCACACCACCAAAAGACTTGGCTGTTAGCCAAACTTTAATATGTTTTGAACTCCATATAAGCCACAAGTTCATCTTTGTTTTTCTGCCTATACTTCATTTTAAGCTCACTCATAATTCCTGTCTTTTCCCCTGTATGATCTGGAACAGGATCACAACAAATGGAAAAAAATGAAGTCTCTACAAAGCCAGAATCAACAACTGCAGATGTGATTTAACTGGAATTCTAGAGCGCACATTCAACGAACTGTCATCGGTCTAAGGGTAACTGTATCTCTCTGACTGTATTATACCTCTGCAGCAGATGCTGAGCGAGCTCTGAGTGAAGAGAAAAGCCCAGTTTCTCTTTGAGATGACCCCAGCTCTGCAGACACGAGCCCAGCCGCACGCGAGACTTACTCCTGCGGGCATCCAACTCCCTGCGCCGCTGACTCCGAGGAGTATCGCTAGAGGACGACATCATACTGACAGGTGCCACACACACACTGAAAAAAAGAGAGATAAAAACACACTATATGCTATGTATATAGGGGTCAGCAAAAAAAAATCATTTTAAAGGGGGAGGGGGAGGGGGAAGGGGTCAGCAAAAAAATAATCATTTTAAAAGTTTAAGTCTATATTATGTAGGCAGGCTACTCTAGCCTATTCATTGAAAGTGCCACCCCTAGCTGCTCTCAGGGCAGGCCTCATTTTAAATATATGCGCTTAGTAATGAGACAGTCAGAGTGTACGTATATTAAGGTCAAACAACAAAGTCATAACACAGGTAACCGACATCAGGAAACCTCTGGCATACCTTAAATAAGACCGTGCGCGATAGTGTTCGCGGGGCCCACTCGCTCGAACTGTTGCCATTTTAAGGAGGAACCGCTCAGTCAATAACTCAGTGTAAAGAGCATGGAATTTATCTCGCGACGAAAGAGATGCTTGCCTACATAAAAATAATGAATATCAGCTGAATTCATTGGCTTAATACGATTATTTCAAGACTGTCTTCAGTTCTAGAGTATTATGTCAAGCGAGCTGCAGAAAGAGAAACCGAATCGGAAGTTTCCTGTCCCAGAATTCTTCACGGCATAGCTAGATCTATGGGAAATGTAGTCTGATAATCACCGTGATGTTATAATTTTACACGATCAGAACAGTGTTTTATGTGTTAAAAGACTTGGCCTATAAGTCTTGGCCTATAAGTCTTGGCCAAAAAATAAATATATATATATATATATATGTTTTAATGTGCATAACCACAATGGGTAGCTAGGCTACCAAAGTGTTGTAGCCTACATGAGTTTATTATGTTTACAGTAGGCACTTCTTAAACAAGATATCTTGTTATGTATACACTGTGTTTCAAACCTTTGTACACTTTTCATTTGACACATTTACCTTAATTTTTAACCATTGGTAAAACATTTTCAATAATGTTCTAAAACAGTCTAATTAAAACACTGGTTTTGTAACACCACTACTTTTATTAGACTATATGTATTATACAGCTAATAGCCTACTACTACTACTACTACTAATAATAATAATAATAATAAAAATTAAATATTAAAGTAAAATCATCTCACTTTTATGCGGGCCACACGGCCACTCAAATCATTCAGTGTTCCCTTTTGGTAAATGATAGCATAATGCAAAAGGGTGAAATACACGAGAAAAGGACTGAAACAACGAGAACACAAAAAGGAAGCAACATCAGTTTCACATGTGAGATTGAGCTCAACCCACAGCTGCATGTATCAGATCACCCTACCACACATGCTCACTGGGAACACGAAACGTGCGCTGCTTACCTCTCATCTCAAGCCTCAGACCACCATGGATGAACTCGGTGAGTTGTTCGACGTTCTGTGTCCTTCTAAAGTCTTAATCAGTCTCTATAGATGTACAGATCTGCTGTTTACATACCCCTTGAAGAATATGCAAGATGTTAATCATTTGAACAAAATAATGATTATAAAAAAGGCAAAAATTGCAATCCACAAGACAAAACAATAACTGAATTCACTCAAATGAACTGAAAAAAAAACTAAATTTACACAAATACACATTTCAAAAGTTTACATATCCTAGAATCTTAATACTGTGTTGGTGATCAATGACTGTTTTTCTGTGTGTCTTGAGCAGTTAAATTGTTCACTGTCCCACTGTTCTTCAGAAAAATTCTCCAGGTCCTGCACATTCTTTGGTTTTCCAGCATCTTCTGAATCTGCATAATTGAACCCTTTCGAACAGTGAATGTATCATTTTGAGATCCATTTTTTCACGCTGAGGACGATTGAGGGGCTCATAAACAATTATTACAAAAGGTGAAAACATTCACTGATGCTCAAGAAGGAGACGCGATGCATTAAGAGTCGGGGATGTAAACTTTTGAACAGGATGTTGATGTGATATATTTATTTTCTGCCCTTCAGAAGCTACATGTACACAAGATATTTACATGTTTCCCAGAAGACAAAATAAGTACAATTTACCCCAATCATCCAATTCAAAAAGTTTACGTCCCCTGGCTCTTAATGCATTGTGTTGCCTCCTGGAGCATCAGTGAACGTTTTCACCTTTTTTTTTTTGGAATAGTTGTGTATATTGTATTTATATCTATTTAAACCAGGCCATTCTGGGAGAGAGTGAGAAATATTATCATTCGGAAAGAAAAAAAAAAAGAATATATATGTATACTGTATATAAATATCCTTTACTGGCAGCATTTTGGTATACTGAGAATTTATCATTTAGTTTTTCCTCCCTGTGAGAAGTAACAAGTGTTGTATTAGGAATACAATTATGCTCTTGCTTGCATTTTTCTTGGTAGTCTTACAGAAGTTAGTCAGACCGCCCATTTCTATGAGTGACATTTCCTATGTCAGCAAAAAAAAGTGTTGCAAAATTTTGACATTCAAGTGTTTTTTTATGTTCTGTGCTTTGCATCCGTTGTGATGACAGTGAGGTGCCTTTTCATTTCCTCAGGAAATGACACGTATTGCTAATGTACAGTGGCTTCACCTTTAGTTCTACACATGATTGCTTTAGTGCAGTAGTTTTTTTTCCTCAGTGTCAGTATGTGTGAAAGTTTGAGTTCAGTGTCACTGAGTTCCTGATTTCAGTGTCACTGCATGATTTTCATGTGATTTTGATATTTCAGACATGCTTCTAGAGCAGTTGGCTCAGAACTCCACCCAGACTTCAAGTGTTCCTGCACCCATTCCACCCAAAACTCTCTCACTGGAAGCTTCCGTTAAACGCAACAACACAAATCAGCTTGAACAAGTAATTACATTTCATGCAAGCCAATTCATTTTCATTTTCAAGTTGTACTGAAGCAAGAATTTTGAAAAACATTACAGTTTCGAAAACATTCAAAAACACATGTAAAAGTTTGGTGTCAGTAAGATTAGTCTCTTCTGCTCACCAAGACTGCATTTATTTGTTCAAAAATACAGTAAAAACAGTAATATTATGAAATATTATTATAAATTTAAAAGAACTGGTTTATATTTTTAAAAATGTAATGTATTCCTGTGATGGCAAAGCTGAATTTTCAGCATCATTTCTTGTCACATGATCCTTCAGAAATCATTCTAATATGCTGATGTGGTGCTCAAGTAAGATTTCTTATTATTGTCAATGCAAACAGTTGTGCTGCTAAATGTAAATTATATTTTTTTTCGCAGGATTCTTTGATGAACAGAAAGTTCAAACATTTATAAACATTATAAATGTTTTTACTTTGATCAATTCAATGCATCTTTGCGAAATAAGTATGACTATTATTTTTAAATAAAATCTTACTGACCACTAAATTTGAAACAGTAGTGTAGTTATTTGTCTTCAATAGCTAATAAATATATATTTAGGCCCAAACTGATTCATTCTAATGCTTTTTTCCTATCGTCACAGACTGAATCCTCATGTCTTGTTGCTGGTCCAGGAAAGACATTTGATAATGCCTACAGGTACATCCATCTTTTTGCAAAAATATGGAGTACAAATATCTGTTGTATGCCTCTTATTTGTGAGATCATATTTTGGCATGCGTGGTGTCCTTTGAGGTTCAGCTGTTCACTAAGAACAATAATCTTTTTCTAGCATGCTTCCAGCCCCTGTGGAGGCAGGAGTGATGAGTCCCGGCACAGCTACACGAGAGCTAGACTCCATCATGAATGAGCTGTTGGGACTCGGTCTGGAGGTGAGGGAAACATGAGGTTGACATCAGTTCACCTTTTCATGCCTCAACTACTTGTATTTTACCGCCATTGCACATAATGTGTAGTGCCAGAAGAGGGCAGTATAAGTATATTAACGCTCCTAATTCATGCCTACTGGAATCAATTAAAAATATCATGCTTTGAAATGGACCACATATACTTTATTTTATAGGTTTCAGAACCAATTCCTACATCAAGCCCTCCTCCAGTGGCTCGCAAGTCAGTAAAGGACAAAAAAACGGAGGAAACTAAAGAAAGTGATAGTGGAAGTCAGGAAGAGGATAAGAAACCACAGCATCCTCCCCCGTCAGAAAAAGTATCCAAGAGTGTGGATGCTATAGACGACTTGCTGGGCTCTCTCAGCTCGGACATGGAGAAAATGGGGGTCCGCACAGCTGCCAAAGGCCATTGTGCTTCTTGTGGCAAGTGTATAGCTGGGAAGGTACTAGCAAGATACAGACAACATCTTTTTTTTTATAATAATGTCTTGTTCTCTGCAAATCTGGTGAGTTTTCTGAATTAACAAATTTGTCATCATATCTCACAATTTTACTGTCTATGTTTTTCTACCCGTGCAGATGATCACAGCTTTGGGTCAGGCGTGGCACCCAGAACACTTTGTGTGTACGACATGCAGGGAAGAACTCGGGAGCAGTGGTTTCTTTGAGAGAGACGGGAAGCCGTACTGTGAAAAAGACTACCAGAACCTCTATTCCCCTCGCTGCGCTTACTGCAAGGGTCCTATTACACAGGTGACCTGCCATATCTGTGTGTATTTACCCTCGGAATGCTCCGAGTTACAGTTTTCTCAGGCATTTTAAATGAACATTTGTTACATTTGTAATGCATTCTATAAAACACTAGAGTATTCTCTTTATTTTTGGCTCTAGATTATATATATAAATATGATTGCATACTGTATAATACAACTATATATATATAATATATAGGCTATATATATCATTGCATATAATACAACTATATATATGTATAACTAATTAGAATTAATTATTAAATTGTAAATATGAAATAAATACAATTATTGTTAAATACGTAAAAATGTAATTTACAAAAAATATACAAATATAAAATGTAATACTTAAAATATATAATATAAAATGTAGTACATATATATTATAATTATTATATATAGTATACATTTATTTAGATTATATTTTAAATATAACATTTTTTTTGTTATCTATAAATTATAGTTTTATTTATTTAATAATAATTTCATTTATTTAAAATTCGTATATACAAATATTTGGAATGACATTTTCAACTCTTTCACTTCACAAACAACTGAACTTACTCCAGCCAATGAAGCAGGTGGTAAATTAGTGTGTTTTGCACAGAACATTCTAACAGCGATGGATCAAACATGGCACCCAGAACATTTTTTCTGCTCCCACTGTGGGGATCTATTTGGACCTGATGGTGAGACAACTGGAAATTCACAAATTAAACTAAAGTCAGCAGATCTGGTCATCATTTGAAAAATGATCTTTTGTACTTCATAAATGTGTCTTTGTCTGCAGGGTATATGGAGAGAGATGGTAAACCATATTGCTCTAGGGATTTCTACCGCCTCTTTGCACCCAAATGCTCCGGCTGTGGAGAGCCAGTGAAGGATAACTATCTGTCCGCAGCCAATGGAACCTGGCACCCCGACTGCTTTGTATGTGCGGTGAGTGAATTAGTGGCGTTGAAGACTGGAATGCAATACAGTCGTGTGACTTACTCCTTATTATTAAGGAATATGGAGTCAGCCAGTCTGTGCTATTGTGGTGAGCTTCATAGGTGAATTCTTCACCTGCTCAATCATTCTTCTTCATTATAGTTATCTTTAATGCCCTCTTTCTGCATCTCTCTCCAGGACTGTCTGAAGCCTTTTACAGACGGTTGCTTTCTTGAGTTGAACGGTCGGCCCCTCTGTTCCCTGCACTATCACTCTAGACAGGGCACTCTGTGTGGGACCTGCGGAGAGCCCATCTCAGGTCGCTGCATCTCTGCTCTGGACCGCAAGTTTCACCCCGACCACTTTGTGTGTGCGTTCTGCCTTCGGCAGCTGAGTCAGGGGGTGTTTAAGGAGCAGGGAGGGAAGCCATATTGTTCAGTATGCCACACAAAACTCTTTGTCTGAAAGAGGTGACTTTCCTCAAGGAAAATGAAGGTTTTTAAACAGTGGTTAAAACTTTTTGACTCTAAGGCCCTCCATTGTCCAACACAAGATTTAAAAGCCCCCACCCCTAGTCTAAGTTTTGTATCTGGTATTATTATGCTGTATAAAAAAGCTACTTGTTTTTGAACTTTTTTAATAAACACAAAAAGGGAGTATTGATATATTAAAGTAATTAACCAGTATTTTTTTTTTTTTTTATTCTAAACGTTTAAAGTCCTGTAATTTCTTCAATAAAAACAATAGTTAGTGAGGAAAAATATGATTTCAGTTGACATTTTAATTTAGTTTTTTTAGGATAAGTTGATGAGTTTTTGCATAAACATTTACTTATTCTCTTTGACATAAAATATAATTTGCCCTTTAAAATCTTAAGCATATGCCCTAAATCACATGACTTGATATAAATTACATAATTTCCTTGGAAAGAAAGCAACTCCAAGAACAAAGAAAGAATCAGTCATAAACTTTTCTCTCTTTTCCTCATTTTTAGATGACTTATTTAATAGCGTAAAACATAACATGTTTGTGTTATGTTTATATTACACAACAATAACACTGTTGTGTCCATTTATACTGGACATATAATATATTTTATATATCTATTAAAATTCTTCCTTAATGTAAATCTTCTGCTGGTATGTTGTTCTGTCCTAGGTAATAAAGGGTTTTAAGCTTAAAACGTCCACCCTGTTACACATTGCATTGTATAAATGCCATGTAACAGGGTGGACAAACTTTATACACTGTGAAAAAAGTTGCTGCCTTTAAATTTATAAGTACTATCAACTTGGAAGTCACTTCAACTTAAATTACATTAAACTGACTCAAAACATTTGTTGAATCTTGTATAACTATTAAAGTTAAATCAATGTAAAAAAAAAAAACTATAGTGATACAACATCATTATTTAATTTGACCATTATCACATCACATCAATCAAGCTATTTTAATACATGTTGAACAAAACAAATATTATTGTTACAGATGGTTTATAAAATTTAAAGACAAAGATTCCTTGTCTCTTCTTCAAGCTGACTATGACATGAATTTAATTTTGCTCTTGTGATTATCTTAGCATAACGAAACTAATATACATCACTGCAGGCCAGTTGAGGAGATTATAAAGGCTATTATTTAATTAAGGTTTCAATGACTAAAAAGACTTTGCTTAATAACATACATGTTTTCATAGCCCATGCATTACAGTGACACCATGGGGACATTTTCTGTAAACATTAAAAAGGGTTAGAATAACACCGACCATCATTTTCTTGCTTTAATACACATGGATTGTACAGAAGCCTGTTTATTTTGTTGTGTGCATGGCAAGATCACATGAGGGAACATCCTTATAGATATTGCTGAACATCTCTTGATTAGTCAGCTCACTGCACTGTTACTCAAGGTTCAGATGGGCAGTAACTTAAGGAACAGCCTTCTCATCTTCAAAGAATGCTCTTTGATGGTAAGAGATGACAGCTGCTTTCTGGGAGGATGGGTCAAAGATCAAGATGTTTATCACACCATAACAGTCACGAACAGTCATGAACTGCAAGAACCTCCCATGGTGAGTGGACAAACACTCGTGCAGCATGTGATGGTGAACTTTAGATTTTGTGACTTGTGACTTTTGTGAACAGTGACTTACCATAAATGGCATGCATTCAGACACTATTGCGATTAACTGATCTACTGTACAAGAAAGCACTCCTCCTCCCAAATATGAAAATCCCCTATGAGAACCCCTTCCTAAAATATGTATCGATTTTGTATTACTTCAACAGTGTATTTTTTTTAATCTAATATTAAAATAAAAAAATTCAATTCACACTTTTTATATAGCATTTAATGATAAATGTCACAAAACTAAATGCACATTTGGTTTTTATTTCTTATAATTTTGTATTTTGTTTTCTATCAAATTTTGAGTGTGGAGGGTTTGAAAAAGTCCTGAAGTATCTTTCTCATAAATCGAATAGGAGAGAAAGAGAGAGAGAACGAAGGGAAGAGGAACAGAGCGCAGTGGCTGGGAAGACGTGTATGCGTTGAGTTTATAAATCAAGTTGTCATCACTCCATTAGCACTCTCTTTTCTGTTTTAGGAAGACTGAATTCAAATATGTTGCTGTTACAACAGAAGCTGATTTTTCTTTCATATTCTCTTTCGCTCCCTCTTCAGGTTTACTGTTCATTTGCTGAAATGACTACTAATATAGAGCTTCATGAAAAGGGTTTCTGTCTACCATTTACTGTAAACCCTAACACTGAAAATAATTAATTGGTTTGAGTAGGGTAAACTTAAATTAAACAAAATAGTTCAATCAAATGAACTTGTATGAGTATTTATAATTTTCGTTTTCTTATGAGTTCACAAAACTGACACATTTTAAGTAATCTGACTTGTTTCATTGTTTTGAGTTTTGTTAACTTAATTTAAAAAAACATTTTTTAGACAAACTTACATTTATCTGAAAATGGGCTGGGATTTCTATTTTCCAGCATGCTTTGCCATGACACTCGAAAAGTTTTATATTGTCGTACTTATTCAGCAATTGCTATGCTATGCTAATGTTATCAAAGCATTGTGTTACCAATTAGCAAGTTAGTTTTTACTGAAATAGCTTAAAGCTTGCCAAGTTCCTATTACTAAAATATGTAAGTTGAGATTACATGATAATTTTAAGTTAAATGAATGAATTAACTTACTCAAATATTTCAAGTTGAGCAATTAAAATGTACGAGTACAAAAGTAAAAATCTTTAAAAAAAATTGATGTAACTGATTACCTCAAATTTTTTGAGTTTTGCCAACTTATTCGGGTTTACAGTGATTTTCATGTGGTTGCTAGTCGTTTCAGAATTGTTGGTACGCAGTTGTATTTTTACAGATAGGAGAGCGTAAACAGAGTTCAGTATGACATCTTTAAGACTCTGCACATATTGAGTTCTTGAATCGGTGAATTAACTGCATGATAAGTTCAGTTGAATTCGCCAAAGAATCGTTCAATGCAGTTTGTTAATCCGGTTCATTGAAAAGATTCAGATCAATAGAATAATTCGGTTGCGAGGCGAGTTACACATCACTGTCGGGTCGCTGAGCAGCGTGCAGCAGTGAGTCATTGGATAATTTATTCAACAAATTCATTAAATGCGGATTCATTCAGAAATGAAACAAGTGATTGTGCTTATAGGCTACTGTAAGTGAGTCATTGATTAATTTACTCAACCAATTCATCTAAAATCTCATTCATTCACGAATGAAACTGCTTTGTTTAAAACTATTTGTATTTGGTAGACAAAGTAAATGGCAATTTTGTATATAAAATGTAAACTATATTAACCTCTTGTATTTAAATTGTCTAAAAGCAACAACCATCCAACTTGCATTGAAATGAGCGAATTATTGGGGGCAATGGTGTTTAGTATACTTGTAAAACCTTGGGAATGAAACAGGAGTGTTAACACTCGTTAAAGCGGCAGAAATAAAAGGCCTGTCAATAAGTGCTGGTGTGGCAGGAGTCAGGTGACATTTACAGCTGTAGGGCTGAAAGAGGCCGGTGGGTGAATTGGCCCGTGGATCCATAGGGAGGGTAAATGGAGGGGAGTCGTACTGAAACCCTAGCCTCACCTGAACCAGACCTTGGCCTCTCTATCACCCCACCGATCCACAAAGCCACGGCATGGGTCACAGAGCACCGTAAATACTGACCAACCTGGCAACTCTGAGACCGCACTCCCATAATAAACAATGAAGCCAATAAGTGTCCAGTATGTCACTGCCAGACAAGCCACTGAGTGTGTAACCCCACGAACAAAACCGCATTCAGGGGGCTCAGGCTCCCTATAAAGGACTGGTAAGATGAATGTGGACCGCTGGATGCCAAAATGATTAACTGTATGAAATACTTAATAAAACCAATGAAGTCAAATGTAACTTAATCTATTTATGGAGCAAATGTGAAATGCAGGAGTGTCAGCAAAGCGGTGTTTTATTGATTTATTTGCCATGTCTCCAATCACCACCAAACTTCTTAACATTTATTTTTATCCAAACCAGATGGCTGCCAAATATTAGAGAGGCCACAAAAAAAAAAAAACCTATAGATTTTAGAAATGTCTTAGTGATGTAATACAATATATATATATATATTGCTGCCAAACATTTTAAAATCTTAAACTACACTTGCATTCATTAGAAAAACTGAAAATTAATAATGATTAGGTTGTTATAATTAACATATAGACACTAGACAGTGACTGAATGTAAAAAAAATCATGTTTCTTGAATTATTTTCAAAAGTTTGTGTCATGAAAAACAAAACTATTTTTATTTTCAATATGTATATTTAAATGTATGTATTTTTTAAATGTAAAAATCCAAATCAGATATCTGAGGGCAATGTGCTTCCTCTTACACCTCATACAGGAACATTTCAATGAGAATTATTGACACTCGTTGAAGCTTTTTCCATGGCAAATCCTGAATTACTAGCTCCAAAGAATACAATGAAACACACTTTGCACTGAATAGAATCCAATGAAACACACTTTGCACTGAATTTGTAATAATGTTTTTAGATAAAAGGTTAAAAAGCTAAAGCAAAACGGTGTATTGATCTGTGTATTGAAGTAACTGCCTCTGACTGAGAGGTTTTTCAATGAAGACAAGAAGTGACAGCTTCAACACCCCCTAATTGCTTCCTGGTGACACAGGGCCCATATATTAATTAGAAAAGCTCATTCAAAGCCAGAGGAAAAGGGCTGCATTCCCCTCACCATTACCTGTATTTGGTTTGGCCCACAGCCAGCCTAGCGCAGGTATCATTTCAAATTAATGACTAGCTCCTCTGTACCGATGACTTCCTGTAGTGCTTAGCAGAGGCTCCCCGTGCCAGGCGACTACTTTTTTCGTCTTTATCATTTGATCTGTGGTTTCACGCTCTCTTTCCCTCAGCTTCTGAGTTTGGGCCTCTAATTCCCTCACTCATAGAAAGCAGGGAAGCAGGTTTAAATGGAAAGCAACAAACTCTTTGAATTTGAACTCTTCTTTTGCTTCTGTAATTTCTGCTCACTAGCGACACCAGCTGGTATAATGA